GCGTTTTTGGCGCGCCAAGGGGACGTATCTGCCAATGGCAGATTGGCCTTATGACCAGTCCGAGCCTGTGCGGTTTTCTTTCTTCGGTTCAGTATACCTTGTATCAACAAGTTATATAAATATTCAAGCGTTATTCAGGTCGAAAAATATAAATTTTTCTGGGCAGACTATGAAAAATCAGTATCTAAAAATTCGAGGAGAACGAAAACACACCAACTCGGAAATTTTAAAACGCTTAACTCTCTGTCATCAAACATGGTGTATCGATTACAACTTGGTGCTTTACAAAGTCTCTAAGTACTTGTCCTTTGGCACCAAAAAGGTTTTTCTTAAACTAACTTCTTCGCCCGCTGCGCAGTTTTAGGTGTTTCCTGAACAATGTTTTTTTCCGAGTTGGTGTGTTTTCGAACTCATTGATTCAATTTACAGGAAAACTAGGGAATATTTTCCGTTCAATTTTTCAGAGAAAATTCTTTGGTTAATAGATCTAAATCTTCTGAAAATTTCAATAGACAATACTTATAACTCTCCTCGTTAATAAACATTTCATCGGAGGAAATTTGGCAACTCTCGAATGTTCATACGGCTTTTTTCCTTATTCGTGTGGCAGATCGCAATTGCACCCGGAGTGTCGTGTGTGTCATGTTGCCTCTCCTCTAATTGAAGGTGCTCATTTATTGCAATTTATTACAATGAAATAGAAATAAGTAGTAATTTTTTTGGCAATACAAATTGGTTTTCTTTCCGGCACACCGAATTCATTTTATTGAAATATGTTGTAATAAATTGAAATAAGTGGTGTTTTTTCTCTTGTTTTAAAGTTACATTGACTCCTAGGAGGAGGAGTGACGATGACGTAGGGCGACGTAGGAAAGTAATCATCTTAGGTTAAGAAGTTTCAGATTTTCCACCATGTTTTACTCCCTTGAGGAACGGCCGATCATCATTATTGCAGGGAATTTGGCGTGATTTTTCCTCGCCAACTCAAGACTAGTCGAGCACAGTCGAACCTCGATGACTCGAAAACTTCGATAACTCGAAGAAAACCTCCCCTCTACAGAAAGGTCAAACGGCGGTATCTATCTCGAATAATTTTATCTCGATGGCTTCTTTTGTCTAATTTTTACCGCGGTAACTCGAAGTTTCCGACAGGTTACCTCAGAACTCGAAGGAGGCCTCGTTAGCTCGAAGAAATTCCGCGATGACCTCAGTAACTGGAAGCCGCTGCGGGAAAGTTTGTTTATTTCAAGTGTCAGTTGGTTATTGATTGCCGTAGGAAAATGCGGGATTACGGGGATTAAGTCTTTCTCAGAAATTCGCATTTATAGAGGCTTTAAAAGCAAAAGGGAATAAAACTTAAGACTGAATTGCCGAAGAATTTAACGTCCCTGCAAATAGTCTATTTACAATTTTAAAAAACGAGCGAAAAATCTTTGAAATATTTAACGGTTAAATTCCCCGTAGTCGACAGAGGAGGCGCACAGTGGAACGCACTAATAGAAGAGGTCGGGCATGTAAATTTTGGCTGTATTATTTATAGTTTATAATTTAATACTTTAGTCTATCAGTTTAGTTAGAAGGTAACTCATTTTTATTATTAACAATAATATACCTCGTCTAAGATTTCAAATTATACCGCCACAAGTTCAATTTCAAAGGGTGTTTTTAGAGGGGAATTTCACAAAAAACCAATGGAACTACTGTTAAACTATTTTGTTCCATATTTTCGAAAATATGATGAGCTATCAAAGTTTTCAGATTTTGTTAGACTTATTTTATTGACTGGGTCCGGTGTGCGGCCCAGAAGAAAGGTGCCCAACGTTGAAAACTGTCTGAAAATGAGGTAGCAAAGCAAATCCTGTCTTCGCTGAAAGCAGTGGCGAGACGTGAATGATCGATTATGGATATTTCCAAATTTGAGGCTATGGTAAAGAATCGATTATTAAAGTGTTCGTTGGAAACACCCTGTTTATCGATTCTTTTCCATGGGTTTAAATGGCAGATCAATCGATGTATCGCAAAAGATGCCACGCCACTGGCTGAAAGATTATAACAAACCGAACGCTAATGTTGGGGGATGCAGTTATTTTTTCAGTTACGATATTTTAGAAATCAAGGTGGACAAGCAGCAATATTACTTGTAGAGGCAGAAGAAAATTGCTAAGTTTTTAATAAAACCATTTAACGTTTGATTTAACGATATTTCGGGGGGAATAACATCTTTTCGTGTTGTTCTTTTTTTATTTAAAAGAAAGGGTAAAATTAATCAATTAATAATCACGGTATAAACATTTCTCTTTGAAATGAACCCAGGCGTATCCTCGGTCGAACGTGGGGTCAAGTATCCGAAACTTAATTTTTTATATCAATTTTCAATAACAGCAACTTCCCTTAGTAACTCGGTGTTTCCATATCCTCCATATTGCGAAACTTCGATAGCTTGAATTTCCCTCTCAACTCCGCGGTACCGAGATCCGACCGGATTCTATGTATAATTGTGGATAATATTCTCTTGAAAATGATGAAATAAGAGCCGGCATTCCAAACATCGGAATCAAGTTACTTGTTCTCCCAATCTCACAATCAATATGGGTTTTATTACCTATACGGTTTTTATGGTTTCATCTGATTTTATGGGTTTACGGTCGAATGTTCCGCTTCGACTGCTGCGCGGTGTTCGTCAAAGTTAAAGATAGAGCGCGAAGACATTAGAGGTCAACTTATCATGGTCAATATAAAACTTTTTCGAGGTATGAGATTTATTCCAAAACCTCCAGATGTACAGTCTCCGGAGATTGAAAAATTAAATAGTTTCTCTTTAAGTATGTGGCAACGTTCATGAATAAAATCACACGTAAATTGCTATTCGATGGTGATTTTACGCAATCTATCCATTCGTGATGTGAAAAAAGGACGAAATATTTTGTGATGGGAGGGTGCATGGGAGCGAGTGTTAGGAGGTCATACATTTTATGGCGATCAATTTTAACCACTGGAATGATCGATACCACCCCTCGCGACATCTCTCACGAAATGAATTCATAGTAGTCTTCAAAATCAATGAGAGAAAACCGTCATATATTCATAAAGGACAATGAAAATAATAATGATGCAAATAGAATTTCTTCTTATTTAAAGTTCCTGAGTAATTCCTTCTTATCTGATTCGTCATGATAATTGGCACTATATCAAATCAATTTACAAGTCTCTTTGTTTTCCACTATCTCAAATCTTATATATGTATATGGGGGCTTGGAGGAGAAGGCGCATGCGTGCAGTTTTTGCTCTTTCGCGAAAGACGTGTTTGAACTTTCGAAATTACATGGATCCTTATGACGGAAAAAAGTTCGAACTGACTTTTTGATGCTTAAAAATTGGATTTATGGAAGTGAATTTTTCACAGAATATGTATTAAGACTAGTTATACTTGAAATCNAAAAAAAAAAAAAAAAAAAAAAAAAAAAAAAAAAAAAAAAAAACTGCACTTATGCGCCATGTTCTCTGAGCTCTCAAATATACACATATTTTCATCTGGAGTAAAACGGTTTTAACTCAAGGGTTTTTTTTTTCAATACACTTCGACGGTGTAAGTCGGCAATCACATAACTCGGTTTGCGACGTCGCAGATTTCCTCTTATACCTCATTTTTTAAACGGAAAACTACTGGACGGCAATTCTTTAAAACTGCCGTGATTTTTCTTCTCTGTGAGAAGAGAATTCTGTAAAAACTTCAAAGAATGATGTCAACTTGCTCTCTTCTAAAAAAATAAGATAGAGGCGCTGATTTTCAGAAACCGTAAATGAGATAGGTATGTGATTGCGGACTTACCCCGTCGACTTATCGTACTTCCGTGTAATTGACAGTTATAGAGTGAACTAATAGAGTGTATTGGTGCAATAAAGCTTTTCGGCCGCACAGGACGCTGCTGTGAGTGCTGTGACTAAAAGGACGCTGAAATTGGACTCTAGCCATCATTTAAACGCCTGTGGTTTATAGAAACATCATAGAAGCGCATCACGACGCGACACTCTTGGCACGGAAAATCAAAACGCCTTCAAATTTTTATGTATGCATCACGCATATCCGCCGATCACGGATAGTCGTATCAAGACGCTATCATCAACGTTCCCATCACACCCAATAGCAAACATACTGAGTGACGACCAATTTAAAGTAGTCACTTATATTTTACAAATTAAATATTATATTAATATTTGCTAATCATTAATTATGCTATACTAATATGTACTTGATGATAGAGAGGATCCTGAAGATACAATTTTAATTTCATTTTATTTAATTTAATTTATTAAAAAAAACCCGACATCAATTTAAGATAAAGGGAACAAATTACACGGGGCATATATGTTGTCAACTCAGCAACATTTTTTCTTCGAAAGAGGGTGTCTCTAAAACTTAAACACTTCGGAATCTTTGTTTTTATTTTTTAATTAACGCAGGCAACAAAGAAAAAAAAATTGTCAAGAAAAAGTTATTTTGATTAAATCGATTTTTGCTTGAATCGAGAGCCAATCGCCTTAATTTGAGCGGATCTCCTTTTGATTCAAGCAAAAATCCGATTGAGTCAATATAATTTTTTCTTGTCAATTTTACTCTGAATCCAAGGAACTTTCATTTTCAATGACGCTGCATTGAGTTGCTTCTTGGGAATTGAGTTGTTTCTTGGGACCACGTATTTGGCTGGAAGTTAACCAATCTAAAAAAAAAAAGTAGTAGTTCTGTGCATTTCTTCCTACAAAGATAATCTCAACTTTAAAGTAGTCGAAAATTGAACTCTGCAGTTGAGAAATGTTTCGGGTTGACCGTCTATCCCTTATTATGCTTGTTTATGGAGCGATCCTTACAATCTATCCTCTTCAACGGCAAGAGGAGCATTTCAAAGTTCAACGAAGGACACGGGAAATTCTGAAAACCTGGCCACGCGCGAGTTTTCACTTACAATACTCACATGCTAACGGTTCATTTCATCTGTTTCTAGGTGAGAGATTTTAAATGGCCTTGACCTGCGGTAAAAGATGCGTTAAAGGAAGTTTCCTAAGTCTCAACGTTTTACTATGGGTAAGTTTAACATAGCGCTTTGCTGATAAGACTTACAGGGTGACGCTGCGTGGATTCATGTTGCAGACCAATTCTCGGCCCTTTTTGTGAAAGACTCTTTTAATAGTAATGAAGAGAATCATAAGGACCAAGCATAAATTTTCTTATTCCTGGTGACATTTTTTACCACAGTAGGATTTTTTTGAACTATAAACATGATATATAACTAAATGGATGTATTTCTGCAAACGGAACTAGACGAATGGAAAAGATGGGGTGTGCTCGTTGATGCTGCATAAGAAACTATGTTAAAGTGGGCGTGACTCCCTTTGGAGAAATGGAAAAGCGGGAATTTACATTCCGTCAAACGGAACTATGAGCTAACTGAATATGGCACTTATGAGCCGTGGGAATGGGAAAAGAGCGCGGTGGACAGGGCTCATGAGTTAAAGCTGAGCAAGGGCGATAACGGAGCCGCGGAGCTTTTTTGCTGCTGACGTCTCTGGCGCTTTATAATTCCCATTCATTCTTACGGCCCTCAACTGACGAGCACACCNGCATGCAGTTTTTGCTATTTCGAGGAATACGTGTTTGAACTTTCGAAATTACATGGATCCTTATGGCGGACAAAAAGTTCGAAATGACTTTTTGATGCTTAAAAATTGGAATAATGGGAGTGAATTTTTCGCAGAGTATGCATTAAGACTAGTTATATATTTGAAATCATTAATATCTCATTTTTTCAAAAACTGCACTTATGCGCCCTGTTCTCCAAGCTCTCATATGTACACATATTTTCATCTGGAGTAAAACGATTTTAACTCGAGAGTTTTTTTAATACACTTCGACGGTGTAAGTCAGTTATCACATAACTCGGTTTGCGACGTCGCAGATTTCCTCTTATACCTCATTTTTTAAACGGAAAACTACTGGACGGCAATTCTTTAAAACTGCCGTGATTTTTCTTCTCCGTGCGAAGAGAATTCTGTAAAAACTTCAAAGAATGATGTCAATTTGTTCTCCTCTAAGAAAATAAGATAGAGGCGGAGATTTTCAGACACGGCAAATGAGATATGTGATTGCGGACTTACCCCGTCGACTTATCGCACTTCCGAGTACTTGATAGTTATAGAGTGAACTAATAGAGTGTATTGGTGCAATAAAGCTTTTCGGACGCACAGGACGCTGCTGTGAGTGCTGTGACTAAAAGGACGCTGAAATTGGACTCTAGCCATCATTTAAACGCCTGTGGTTTATAGAAACATCATAGAGGCGCATCATGACGCGACACTCTTGGCACGGAAAATCAAAACGCCTTTAAATTTTTATGTATGCATCACGCATATCCACCGAACACGGATAGTCGTATCAAGACGCTATCATTAACGTTCCCATCACTTTCACACCCAATAGCGAACATACTGAGTGACGACCAATTTTTAGTAGTTCCTAATATTTTACAAATTAAATATATTATATTAATATTTGCTAATCATTAATTGTGCTATACTAATATGTATTTGATGATGGAAAGGATCCTGACGATACGATTTTAATTTCATTTTATTTAATTTAATATATTTAAAAAAAAAAACCGACATTAATTTTAGATAAAGGAAACAAATTACAGGGGGAATATTTTTTATAACTCAGTAACATTTTTTTTCGAAAGAGGGTGTCTCTAAAACTTAAAAACTTCGGAATCTTTGTTTTTATTTTTTAATTAACGCCGGCAACAAAAAATGATAATCTATAGCTAAACACTGGGAAAAAGTCTCTTGCAGATCTAGAGTACAGACTCTGAAAAAAATTGTCAAGAAAAAGTTATTTTGATTAAATCGATTTTTGCTTTAATCGAGAGCCAATCACCTTAATTTAAGCGGATTTCCTTTGGATTCGAGCAAAAATCCGATTGAATCAATATTATTTTTTCTTGTCAATTTTTTAAAGAGTCTGGACTCTGAATCCAAGAGACTTTTTTCCAGTGACGCTGCATTGAGTTGTTTCTTGGGACCACGTATTTAGCTGGAAGTTAACCAATCTCAAAAAAAAAGTAGTAGCTCTGTGCATTTCTTCCTACAAAGGTAATCTCAACCTTTAAAGTAGTCGAAAATTAAATTCTGCAGTTGAGAAATGTTTCGGGTTGACCGTCTATCCCTTATGCTTGTTTATGGAGCGATCCTTACAATCTATCTTCTTCAACGGCAAGAGCAACATTTCAAATTTCAACGAAGGACACGGGAAATTCTGAAAACCTGGCCACGCGCGAGTTTTCACTTACAATACTCACATGCTAACGGTTCATTTCATCTGTTTCTAGGTGAGAGATTTTAAATGGCCTTGACCTGCGGTAAAAGATGCGTTAAAGGAAGTTTCCTAAGTCTCAACGTTTTACTATGGGTAAGTTTAACATAGCGCTTTGCTGATAAGACTTACAGGGTGACGCTGCGTGGATTCATGTTGCAGACCAATTCTCGGCCCTTTTTGTGAAAGACTCTTTTAATAGTAATGAAGAGAATCATAAGGACCAAGCATACATTTTCTTATTCCTGGTGACATTCTTTACCACAGTAGGATTTTTTTGAACTATAAACATGATATATAACTAAATGGATGTATTTCTGCAAACGGAACTAGACGAATGGAAAAGATGGGGTGTGCTCGTTGATGCTGCATAAGAAACTATGTTAAAGTGGGCGTGACTCCCTTTGGAGAAATGGAAAAGCGGGAATTTACATTCCGTCAAACGGAACTATGAGCTAACTGAATATGGCACTTATGAGCCGTGGGAATGGGAAAAGAGCGCGGTGGACAGGGCTCATGAGTTAAAGCTGAGCAAGGGCGATAACGGAGCCGCGGAGCTTTTTTGCTGCTGACGTCTCTGGCGCTTTATAATTCCCATTCATTCTTACGGCCCTCAACTGACGAGCACACCCCTTATTTCCCACCTGCCTCTGGTTCCGTTTCGCAGAAATACGCCCAAATAATACAGTAAAAATTGAAATAAATCCTTGCAGTTTTCTGGAAGCGCTATTAAACTCGCCTTCAAACGACAAGATAGGCAAAAGCGGGGCTTCCGAAGCCTTAATAGTTGTATCCTTGCAAGTTAGGCTGCGTTTGGAAAAAGACAACTGATTTTTTAGGAGGATGAAGTGTCTGCTTGCAAGCTGAAAACTAGGAATTTCCGTGAGAGTTACATGTGTTACTTAACCCACAATTGGACGTATTTCTGCCAAACGGAACTATGTGCATGATGACGTGAGCCCTGTTATGCATATATTCTTATGGATCTCCGGGCTCATGTCTCAATGCACATAGTTCCGTTGTTCCATTTCTTTGAATTATACTGCCACTCTGTAATAATCTCGACCAGTATTGATTCTACAGAGCCTAAAGAACAAAGGTCAATCGAATCCTTTACGCTGATTCGGTTTTTTCCCAAATGAATTGGAAAGACTCTTAATTTCATTTGCGTGCATGTATCGACGGCTGAAGCACCTCCATTGCGACGTTTAAAAATTTCCGATAAGGAAATATGTTTTTTTTTTAAAAATAAAACGAACCAGAATGCCTCGTTGAAAGTTTCTGTAAATTTTTATGAATGAGTCCAACAAATTCAGAGAAAGTCAAAGAATAACATCCTGTAAGACGAAGTTCCATTTTTCGGATTTCACCGTACATTTCTAAAGCAGAGCCGGATTTACCATGAAGACGCTCTAGGCGCGCGTCTATGAGCCCACACCATATGGGTGCCCGAACCATAACCCTTCTCAACTCAACATAAACTTCTAACTTCTTTTCGGCCGTAGTATTTTCTCTTGTTTGCATCGGTATATGGTTAAAACTGTGAAAGACCCTATCTCGGTTTTGCCCCTCAAAGAATCAGCCAAAAAACGTCTTAAATTGCGTTACACTGGAAAAAAGTGGCTTGGCTTTAGAGTCCAGAATCTTATTAACATTGACAGGGAAAAATACTCTTGACTCAATCCAATTTTTCCTTGAATCAAAGGGCCGAACCTTTTGATTTAGGCGGATTTCCTTTTGATTCAAGCAGAAAGTCCGATTGAATCAACAGTATTTTTCTTGTCAATGTTTTTGAGAGTCTGCACTCTAGATCCAATGGACTTTATTTTTCAGTGTAGAGCCGGGCTAAAATTTCAAATCTTACCGAAGGAGGCCCGCGGGTCCTCCTCTACTGCGGGATGATTATTGAAACTGACAGACAAAGGAATAGACAAAGAGGACATCGGGAGTATGAAGCGATCCTATTGGTTGAATGGATGGTTCCTATAGACGAAGGGATAACATGATGGACTAACTATAGGATCTCTCGTGGGTTGCCGTTAGTTAGTCTATTATCTACGTCCTTTGTCCCTGGCAAACACCCGCTTCCACCAATAGGATCCCTCTATATCCTTTAATGTCTTCTTTGTCTATTGCTTTTTCTATCAATTTCAATAATCAGCTCGCTGAGAGAGTAATTCACTACAAACTCCCGCCCCCAATCGAAGGAGGCCCGCTCCACACAGTGACTTAGGGCTGAAAAATCCTAAATCCGGTCCTAGTCTGATAGGTTTCCCTGGTAGTTGCTAATTTCTGTACACGTGTTTCTGTTGTTCAGCTGTTAGGTTGCGTCCAGATTCTCGTGGGCGTCTGCATAATAGTAGATGCCGGGAAGTTGCATCTGTATTATTCCATGGTAGCTGATCTGGCATCCGTGAACTCAGTTACGTACATTGCTTACTTCATCTCCTTCGTGGGTGCGGCTGCACTCTTCATAGGACTTACAGGATGCTGCGCAGTGGCAAAAGACAACCGCTGCCTTCTTGCAGGGGTGAGTGCCAGAATGTCGCCTGAATTGTTTATGTGTTGATAAGACATGATTTGGATGGAATCTGGGGTGTTCGGTGAGTACATGCGGATGCTGTAAAATAATTTATTGATCCTTGAAATCGGGAAACACGTAGCTCGATTTGCGACGTGACGAATGTCTGGTCACGAATGATTTTTTCAGTAGAAAACTATGATGAATGAGTATTATTTTTGGAAATGTAACAGATTTTTTTTTTGTCCAAGCAGAGATAGTATATTTTGCAGACCCCGCACTGCTATTTTCCCGACAGTGTAAAAGTTACTTTCGGAAGTCGGCTCTTAAATTTACCTACAGGTTGATTGTTGGATCGTTGTCGAAGGACCTTGATCGATGAATAGCATTGCCAGGATAGAGATTTCTCGATCAAGTTCATTCGATAACGATTCAATAATCGACCCGTTGATGATCAAAGAGTTGAGGATTGGTTTAGCAAAACCTGACCTAATTTTTAGAAACTCGCCTGGCAAGGTGCTTGAAGTCGAGTCAATCTAGCATTTTCCTGGGAAAATCATTATGTAGAAGCTTTCCTTGCGCTAATAAGTCGCAATCCGCTACCAAAACAACAGATCAAATTATACCGGAATCGGCTGTCCGCTATGGCTACCATCTTTAAAAAAAGGGAGGCTAGGAGGGGGGCAAAATACGCCGTTTGCGACCGGTTTTTCACTAATAATGCAAAAACAATCAGTCCTGCGGGAAAATGTCATGGACCCTGTCAAACACTAAAAATTTACGAATTTGTGACTTTCCGTTTCAGGATGCGGCAAATTAGAATAAAAACCATGATGCAATTTATAGATGCATTTTGAGTAGTGTGTCCCTGCGGCAGCGCTATTTACAACTCGTGTTCATACCTGTTTTTAGCCTATTCCTCCTCAAGATTTTCAATTTTCTTAAAAGAAATGAAGTTTTAGAACTCATTCACTTGTTTCTTGTTATTGTTCAAATTCGTCCTTCTTTCTTTTTTAAACTCTTCAAAGCAATTCTTTACTGGCAAAATAAATGCTGTCTCTTTACGTAAATATTTTCCTCCGACGTAAGTCTCTGCTTCACGGGTGAAAAACTCGCACTTGCTTCTGCTTCTTGTTTTCATTTAATTTCGATAGACTCTTCATTCGAATATTTTTGTCTGCAAACTGCATGAACCGTTTCGTCAGTTTTACCCAGTCATTCTTCAAACTTATAATCTCTCGTCAGTTTCTAAAATTTCATTCAAATATAATGCTCTATTGTCGTTTCTAATATCGCCAAGTCGTGCGGTCGCTGATCGGCGCATATGAGCGCCTACAAGACTGTTGGAATACTTCACGCATTGCGCCAAACCCAATCACAGTGCGGTCGCTGGTCAGCGTGAAACTCATATGGGCAATTCTACGCGATCGATTGTTTTTGAGTTATAAGCGAAAAACTGGTCATTGGCGGCGTATTTTGGCCCTCCAAAGCAGCTTTTTTTCAAGATGGCGGCCTTAGCGGACAGCCGATTCCGGTAAACTTTTGATATGTTGTTCTGGTGGCCGATTGCAACATGTATCCGCAAATAAACCTCCTGTATATTGATATTACTGGATTGCTCTTTTTCAGAGCTAATTTGACTGGACTGTTGCCCGACATTCATCAGTCATCACTGGGACATTCTTAATGTTCAGTTACAGGATCAAATTGAGCCATCAAATTGAAGCTCTGATTGGTGGAAAAGGACCTGAGGTGAGGATGCGACCAATGAGAGGCCCAATTTGATGGCTCAATTTGATCGTGTAACTGGACCTTTATTGGAGTTTCTGCTCAACAAGTCGCTTATCAACCATGATTAGGCGTAAAATAGGGTTGATCTACGAATTTCACTTGTCTCACTAGATTACATTATTTAGCACAGGGTCTCGAAAATACATGTATTAACTCAGCATCCAAGAGAGATCCTGTATTTCATGAAAGTTTCATAACGTTTATTTTTTTCTCCTAGAGGAAAAGTAAACAAAAATAAAATGATAATAAAATAGTAAATAAATAAAACAGTGGCGGGTATTTTGAAACGTCTAAGTCTAGATTCGTGTTTTTACTAATCATCGATATGCTCCGCAGTTGATTTATTTTAAATACGTAAAAAAATGAAAAAAATATGTTTTCTCTTTATATCGTGATTCCATACTTTAAACTTAAATTAAGGATTAGAGTGATTCTGATTTTTCCTTCCATTCACTTTTTATTCTGAGAAATCAGATGGAGTCTGTTTTTTAAAAAAAAAAAACAGTAAAATATTAAAACCGAGCTCTGCGAAGAAAAACTTAAATACCTCTGAGAAGTTTACACACGGTAAGTGCCGCATCGGTTCTTGACATCCATTCGAGGTTCCATCAAATGAACGGAAGGATTCAATAGTGAGTGCGGATATTGAGTAAATATTCTACCTTTTTCTTCATATTGCTGCGAGAGTGATTCCGGCCTGGATATTCTCGTTCAAGTGCGTTTGACTCACTGAACTGTGGTCCCGATGAATGCACCTATGTATCGTCGTCATGAATACTGAGTATTTTGTTATCTCGGAATTCAAGAGGGAATTCTGAGAAATGTTAATACCACAAAATATGAAAATTACAGTGACTGCGCAAGAAATTCGATGCGTACAAGAGGCTAAAATTGAGGGGAAAAAAGAGGAAAAAGAGAAAAGAGAACAAATCGCTTCGCAAAATCGTCTTTGGAAACATAAGTAGGATAGAGCCTTTCCTGCTCCGAGATTTTTAGAAGTTTGTGATCCTCTTATTATTAAAAGGGGTGAAAAGTAAAGGGGCTGAATGCACTGCGTCGTTAGGGCCGTACGTACAGTTGTCCTTAAATAGCTTCTTTCGTTAAGGTTCTACATGGTTTACATTTTACGAGCCTCAAGTAAACTTTAACAGAATAACTTTAAATATAAGGCTCCTATAGAAAGAGATTAAAATGATTTGATACTACAACAAGTACACAAAATATGAAATTCAATTTTTTAGAATTTTGACAAACTTGGAGATATGTACATACAACCTACAGCCTTATTATACGATGAAAGTAGAGCTCTTCTGTGATTGTGTGTTACGGGCTGTTAAACTTCTCATGATTCGAAATACTTTTTTTTTTATAATTCACACTTTTCGTAGTACCAAATAAGTAATTATAGTAATACGTCGCAAGCATTCATTTCCAAAGTTATACTGTTGAGGTTTACATGGATATCCAGTAAAATTGCTCGTCAAAATTGTGCTTTTAATGATGCTGTTTGAAAGGCCTCCTCAGTCACAATCTTAACTATTTTAGGGTCTCTTCAAAGGAATGAACTGTTTTAAGAAAGACTATGTATACGGCCCTGAGTTATCACGTGAAACCTCGCAACGTGGCAATGCCAATATGCCTCTCTGATTTCCACCCTCTTTTTTAGAGTCTTCAGACGAAAAAACAACAGAATGCTAGTAATGTATGTTTTGCATCCTCATAAACTATAGATGTAACGTGGGCGAAGGGAGAGGGGCATTCTTAAAAGACGCCTTTCTATACTGAAAAAAAACCTCATCATCCGGGCGTGGAAGCCGTAATTACGGGCTATATAAACATACGGTCAGCGTTCCGGGCTCAAAAGTTCCAGGCGTAGAACCTGGAGCAGTCGAAGCTACGGCTCCAGCAACCGGAACTTTCAGTCTCGGGTCCGGAACGGACGGTATTTCTATATAATTATACAGCCGGTAACTTTTATTTCAGTGTAAGGCAAATAATGTCAAAAATGTATGTGTTACATCATAAATAATAATACTGAGTGATGGGCATTATAGAGAAATTTTTGATGTGTTCACACAGTATTTCGTAAGCTTGTTGGCGATGATCGCCAGTAATCTAAGCGTCTCAATTGGAGCAGCTTTCTACCGACAGCACATTTTGGCCGGTCTAAAGGAGCGGCTCTTGAAGCAGCTGAACACGCAGTACGGCTTCCCGAATCAAGACCTCCTCCAGGACGTCCACGTATTCAGCCAAGCCATGGACTATGCTCAGTACTCGGTGAGTAAACCGCGCATATAACAGCCTCAATGAGTGCTGTGTCTATATCCGTGAGGTTTTATATAATTATGGATAAAATGACAGAAAAACAAGTTACAGTCGCCGGGGCGCGCCGTAATGTCGCGCTGGAAAGCGGCCTAGGAGGCGAAAGAGGGAGATAGATCCGAGGATGAATAAAAGATGACGGTGAAATGGACCGAATTCAATAGAAACGCCAGTGGCGCGGCTTCGCGATACATCGATTGATCTGCCATTTAGACCTACAGAAAAGTATCGATAGACAGGGTGTTCGCAACGAACACCTTAATAATCGATTCTTTACCATAGCTTCAAATGGGAAAATATCGATGATCGATCATTCGTGCCTCGCCACTGAGAAACGCACCAAGTCGCGTTATGATATGAAATGAGTTAGGAGAAGTTTTGAATTCAAGTGGTCGTAAATGTTCCCCTGTTCAAAAATTCAGTGTTGAGAGAAAATATTTCGGACAAGGAAGTGTTCAAAATAAACTTGTCCTTAAACTTTAGACATGCTTTAAACTTATCGTTGAGTCTTGTGGAGGAATGAAATTTCAAACCTCTTATTCCCTTATTTTTCAATCTTGTTGCGTTTTTGTCGGACTATATCCGAATGGGAAAAAATTTAAAAATATTAATAAATCACGAAAAATAAGGGCGTTGGTTGAAAGTACGTAACATTTATTTAAAAAACCGTCCAAATTATTTGCTCTACTATGAGCGACAGAGTGGAAGCACTGGTGCGTTTTTCCGAGTTTGAAAACCAATTCGACGGCATAAGTCCGCGATCACATATCTCGTTTGCGGTGTCTGAAAATCTCCGCCTCTATAGGTTATTTTTTTAAAGGAGAACACATTGAAATTATTCCTTGAAGTTTTTGAAGTTCTTCACACGGCGAAGGAAAATCACAGCAGTTTTAACGAATTGCCGTTGAGTAGTTTTCCGTTTAAAAAATAAGGTATGACGGGAAGTCTGCGACGTCGCGAACCGAGTTATGTGATTGCCGACTTACATCGTCGAATTATTGTCCAACATAATATTATTGTGCGATTTCTCTGAAAGGCGTACTTCATGAATCTGAGCTGAAACTCTTGTGTCCCTCTCTGGAGTATAAGTGTAATCATGGTGGCCATAACATAAACTCAAATCTACAACCCCCCTCCCCCTCTATTGAACCCGGGACGTGCTGGGGGTTTCGATACGATCATAGATACTTCTATGCGAGATTTCGCTTACCAATGTGCCTCTTATTTTAATTTAAAATCGAATTCAAAACTCGAATAATTTTATTAAGACAAGGCTGTACTGAAACATTGATTCGCAACATTTTGATACGCGCAGATTTCATACGATGGCAATTCTGATGACAATTCATTCCTACTTTTGCCCAAATAATACCGTAGAATTTTTAAAAAAACTGGGATTCTCAAGCTCAGTCATACAGTTTCACTGTCTGAGTGATTAGCTTTGAACTTTCGAGTTGATTTTAGATTTCAGTGGCACCGTGCCTCGTTTCTCGTGAATAGTTTGTATGATTGAATGTATACCTAAACATTGGAACGGCGCGCAGTGGATCGAGCCAATAGGAGAAGTCGGACAAAATTTTAAAATTTTCAGAGCTTATAACTCCGTTTTTACAAAATTTTGAGGTTCTAAATTGGTTCCATTGGATTTCTCGTGACATTTTCTTCAAGATGCATCCCTACAAGTTTAAAATGTGACGAAATAAACATCAAAATTTGCAGTTTTTGTCTAGGATTTCATGTCCGACCTCTCTGACTTGATCCACTGTGCGGCGAGGCGCGTGCGCATCACTGTGATTGCTAGAAAAAGCAAAGCTCCTTCAATTCTTAATATAGGCAACAATGACATCCCTGGAGCACGAATAGTTGCTTTGTCATCAATATCGCGTCGCATCTCATCTCATGTACGCTACTGACTGATGTCTGAATGACGATGCCCTGTTCGTGTTGGAAGAGACTCCAAGGTTTCGCAGCAAAATTCCGCCGATTCACTTGTATCAAACTTTTACTGGGCTCGATCTTGGTCCCTCTCTATTGAGCAAGGTACTTCCACTCGGACAACATTTTACACCAAAGAAGCTCCTAGGCACATAAAACACGTTGATGCTCAGGGCTTTTTTAATACGCAAATTCGCAAATCGCGTCTGGTTTCAGGACGTTCCGTCAACGATTCGTTGTCTGCGCACCTGTTTTGTCCAGTAGCTTACGTACACACTTAAAATAAACAACAGTGACTTCGTCAGTCCGTATGTAAAATTATATTGACAATGTCGAGATGTGAACATTAAGAGAGAAGGTGTCGTTATGGTAGCTCATTTTTTAAGTGAAATGTTACTATCTTCTTTGGATTCATCTTTTCAAATTGTCATTGGTGAATCTTTGGTTTTATTCTTAGGTTCCCCTTTCCTTAGGTCCTCCTTGGATACCAAATGGACTGCATTTTGCAATTTGGACCTATAAATTCCGGCCCGGTTTAAAAACAACGTATGTGCCATTAGTTTTCCTATGCACATAAGTGTTTTCTCAGATGAGCCAGAATTTAAAGGTCCAAATTGCAAAATGCAGTCCAAATATACCTGATACATAAAATTTCTTCATCTTTTTTTCCCTTTAAAAATGAAAATGTAATTTCATTTTAAAAACACTTATATTTTAAAAACGCGGAAATATTTCACCAAGCAATAGCATCGATATTAATCTGAAGGAGCCATGGATGTATTGAAAAGAACTATACAGAAATGAATAAAAGAGAAAAAACCCAAGAAGCACGCAATCTTAGGTTTTAACCCATTTAGACATCGAATTTTAGAGTCAAATACGTCCAATGTTGAGCGTTTGGTTGGGCGTACACCACGCTACAGCCCAGGAAAAGCACAATACAGGGTGTACCAAAAGTCCGTCCCACCCCTGCTAACTTTTGAACGAATTGAGCAAGGGTAATGAAACTTTGGGAATGTTCCTATCTCAAAGGGAACCATCTTTTGGGGGGGGTCAAAATTTTGGTCCCCCCTCAGGGGGGGGGGGCGCGGGGGGCCCCCAACTTTGTAATTTCAAATGGCAACCCCTATCTTGTGACACATCATTCGAAAGAGCATAAAAAACTAAGAATTTTGGCGCAAACCGCAGATCAATATCTTAATTTTTGACCGAGTTATTATAGGTCAAAGGTCAAATTTGACCTATTTT